TTTTAACTCAGTCTGGAATGGTCTTTTTAAATTTTTGAACTGCAAACCAGCGTTTTCCTGGTTCATTGAAAACCGATTTAGAGATTCTCTCGTTTCGACTCGAGACGCCCAATTTTTTTTTTTTTTTCGCTGAGGTGTCACCTGAATCGCTAACGTGAATGAAAAATAACCCAACTCTATTCTAACCAAGCCTGGCTGACTCTGATTCGAACTAACCTGAAATGATGAAATTAGTATAAATTGAAACAAATTTTTGAGAGAAAGCGCAAGAACAGAACAGCGTGGGGACGAAAAGAGGTTGTGTAGCAATTCTACGATCAGAATGTGCTTCAAACGCGGGAAATCGAAACATCAGTGTGTGTGTAGCTGCTGGAAAGTGATTGAAAGCGTTTCCGATTTTATTCATTTCAATTGTGAGGACTCATGGTACATAAATACCTGTATAATTACGTCAGTCGATTTTTTTTTTCTTACGCACTTCCGTCCCTTGACTAATTGGACAGTGTTGAAAAACATGTGACGAGATTATTTAGTTGACGCCTTTTCAATCGCGAAAAAAATCAAGGAGTGTTTGGGGGAATCAAAATTGTAAATTTGCATATTTTAAACCTCGTCAAGATTCGCATTCGACGACCGGACATCAATTTGTCAAAATTGCGTCTTCGCTGATATGTTCATCACACTTGCTACATCTATTTTTGTTTCTGCGTTGTTTCGGTCCTTTGTGGACGTGCTTTTTTGTCATCGAGTTTTTAATACTGTAGTTATAATATATAGATTATTCTGGTTCAGTTCCCATCAAGTTAGAGTATGGCAGGTCGATTTCGGGGTTTTTTGCGTGATTTTCATCAGCGATTGTTGGACTGGAAACATCGGGCGACATTCCGTGGAGCAAGATTGCCGTTTTTTCAGTGGGAAGAATTTAATTTTTCATGAAAATGTAACTTGAATGATAGTTTGTGGTTCGCTTACATTTATTTTGATCATCGAAAGGGGGTGAAATTCACGAACATGAATTCGTGTTCAGCATCTTTCTATGCATGCAGCAGTAGTAATACATTCGAAATTTTTCAAGAGTTCTTAAGAAAGTATGAACGCTAGAAGCAGGATACCTAATTTTTTTCTTCTTCGTCTTTTTGAATAGATGCGCTGAATTTAGTTTAAATTTTTTTCGCATTGCGCTACGCAAAACAAAAGCTTTGTGTATGAAAATCCATCTTTTTGCGCGAGAATTTTTTCTTTTGATTGATCAGAAGTTCCTTTTTTTCTATTTTTTCCTCTTTAACTTCCTGTTCTAAACTTGGTTTTCTTTTTAGTGAATCTGAGAGACGTTCAACGCGGGCACTCCGTAAGGTCGCCGACTTCTCCGCAGTCGGAAGAACCGCCGTTCCGATCGAACTTGTCAGGCGGGGCGCCGACGAAGCAACGGGATCCACCGGAGAATCTCGTCGAGGCGCCTGCACCGGCGGTCAATGTGTGGGTGAAGCGGATCGAGCAGCGTCAAGCCACCGAGCCGCCAACAAAGCAAGTGCCTGGCCCGAGTGAAGATCACCACCATCAGCAACAACCGCCTCGTCATCATCAGACTGCGTCGTCGCCGCCGCCGCCACCAGCAGCAGCGAAGAAGGTGGAAACGCAGCCGACGGCGCGGAAGGTTGAAGAACCAGCAGCTGCTGCTGCTTCGGCGGCGCCGCCGCCACCTTCCCCGGCGCCGGCGACAAGCGCTTGGGGCACGAGGAAGGCGTGGGCGACGGTGGCGGATCCGGTGACGTCGTCGTCGATACCGACAGTGTCGGCTGCTGCTAATGGAGCCATGGGTGACGGCGGCGGTGGTGGCAGTGGTAGTCGTCGATCTTCGTCGCAGAAGGCGGCTCCGACCCCAGCGCGACTGGGATTCGGACGCGGAAAGGCGAGTGGGGAAAATGTGCCGCCCGGAGGAGGAAATGGTGGTGGTGGTGGTGGAGGGACGCCGGAGGTCGGTGTCATGATGCCGTCTGCTGTGCCCATGGGCGCCTGGGCAACCCATCGCCTTAGTTCGAAAAAGGACGACGTGAGTTGTGCTTTTATTGGCGTTGAATTTTTAGGGGTTGAATCGAGTTTTTTGTTGTTGAGCGTTTTCGTTTCTCTTTTTTTTATTGCAGTCGAGCTTCTCTAATTCGAATTTCGAGGGACCATAAAAAAATCGACTCAAGGAGGTTTCTAGTTTGGGAAACAATCATACAGTATTTGTTTGGTGTTGGAGGGAAGAATTGCAGGAACTTGTAATTGGTGATGTTCTGGGCCAAAAATTGCTTTTTAAACGAGTTGAAAGGATGCTGAACTTGGAGGAACGGGTTCATTTGCCCAATTACTGCTGTCTTTTTAATTTCTTTCAAATTACTTCAAGTTAATTTGTATTGCTTTTCTCTTCCCTGTGTCAAGCGAATAAAAACCAAGAAAATTCGAGTCATGGGGGTTCAAGGGAAAAGCATTTGAGTCAGGAAGTTTTTCAAAGCATTGTTCCAAAGGGGATTCAGACGGGACTTATGAAAAATATCGATTTAGGGATGTTCGAGGTTCAACTGTATCAATTGTAAGTAGGCCTTCATTAATATTATTTTTCATTCGAAGGTCACCGTGATGACGAACAAGTTCGCCGGACTGTCGACGGAGTCGGACGACAGCATCAGCCACTGAAACCCCCCGCTGGAACGGATGCATCGACTGGGTTTCTTCCACCTGATGGAACATACCGTTCCTTAAGTAGCAAAGATGAAGCAGAAAAAGAAAACAAGAAGAAGAAAATCCTACAATTTTTTTTGTTTTGTTTTTTGCTTTTTTTTCAAGTGCGAATGGTTAAATCAATCAATCAATTGAATCGGTGGATCCACGAATCGACGAGGGGCCCGCGCAGGGTTTTTTTGTTTGTTTTTGTTTTGTTTTGAAAGACTTGAGAAATTGTGAGAAAGATTGAGGAGATGAGTTTGGGTGTAAATGAAAGTTGCGTGTGGATGCGAAAGTGGAAAGATGGGGTGGGTTCGGACCCAAGTGTGCGTTTTACGACCGTGCAAAAAAAGAAAAATAGTTTATTTCCCCGTGCCCGAATTGCGTTTCTCGAGATTTTATTCCAAGTCTCGCCCTCCAATATATCTTCTTTTTTTTAAAATCATGATTTTCCCCCGTTTCTCTTGTAAGGTTTCAACGGGTGAAGAGAATGCCTTTTTCGAGAATCGCTCCCGAATATCGTTTTCATTTCGGCTGTAGGATTGCTGTGCTTTTTTATTTTCTTTGCATCGAATTTTTGCGTCTCCGTTTGAAAGAAGTCATTCGATTGGGTTGTCGATCGAGGGGCATTTGCAAAGTCCTCGTCTTTGCGCCAAAAAGAAAGAGAAAAGGAGGAAATAATTCCTCGTTCATGTGGACGTCGTTGTTTTTCCTGCTAGAATATGAAGGATGTGCTCAATTTTTGGCTGGGGATTTTTATTTTTTTGCCAAAATTCCATGAGCGTAGTTTTTTTTGGCTTAGTAAAGAGGCACGGTTTGGTTGCTGAAGATCTATTGATCGTGTGTGGATGAATTCTTTTGATCAACGCAGTCGAAATGTATGGTTTTTTTGTTGTTGCTCGAAACTCATCAAAGTCAATAGGCTAGGCTTAAATTCTTTTTTACGCTTTGAGTAGCGAAACCTTTTTAGAATTCTCAGCGGTTTTCATCCAACAAAGTTTTTTGCTTCTTTTGCCAGCTCAGAACATTCGAAAGAAATTTCTTTTACGAAAAATTTTAACTTTTAATGGACGCATTTTCTTGACTGATCGAAATTACAGATTCCAGGAATCACTTGATATTTTCTTGAATCAAGCGTCGAAGTGCGAAGCATTCAAGAGTCCAGTTTGCTTTTTTTCGTCAGTTCTAAAAAAAAATTAAATAAAAGAGGAATTTGAGCGAGTCGGAGCAATTTAATTTTGTTGGTTGGATGGTTCATTCGGACGCTTCTCAATTTTTAGTAGGCATATTTCCACCATTGAAAAAAAAAATCCCTGGGGATTTCTCCTAGATTTTTTTTGCGCGAAAGATGGAGGACTTTTTGAGTGCCCCATATCCGCTCTCAGAAAAAAAAACTGCCCCCACAATTTTTTTTTCGGAATCCATCGCGGGAGAAAAACGCCTGTGATCACACGCGTCCTCCTGACATTATTCTCTAGGAAAGTGTGATCTCTGGGGTGGGGGAAAAAATGGGAGAAAGAAGACGAAGATACGACGATATTTCCGGCGATGGGAAGCGGAGAAAGAGAGAGGAAGAAAAAAACGTTGCTGTGAGAATTTTTGCGAGTTAAATATTGGAGCGAAATGAGATGGACGGAAGAAAGAAATCGAAAAATTACAAAAAATGCTAGAAACTGGAGAAAAAAACAGCAAAACACGAATTTTTTGTCCCGCAGGAAACGCGCCCAAAAAAATAGCAAAAAATGTTTTTTTTTGCAAAAGCGAAAGAGAGAAACGAGACTCGCGGTTTTTTTGTTTTTGTGTTGGGGGTGCAATGGAACAAGAACTTGAAAGAAAAAAAAAACAAGAATAGTGTGTAATTCAATTCGGTTTCTTCCTTCATCTTCCCAACAAAAGAAAAGAACGCCTATCTCGAAACCGTTGAAGACGGGAAAGATTTTTGGTTGCTTTTTTCTTTTTTCAAAAATCGAAACACGTTCGGGCTGGTTTTGTATTAATTTGGCTTTTCATTTCTTTGTTGAAAAGTAAGTGGTTCTTTTTTCTCCTGGGAGGAAAAAACGTCGGGGGGAGACGAAGAAATTTTGGAATTTTTGTTGCGTTTTTTCGTCGGAAAACGTGGAACCCGGAAGTTGTTCTATTTTTCTCCCGTCTTCAGAATTATTTCGATTCTCTTCTGTCTGCTTTCAAAATTTTTCCCTCTGTGTCTTCTCTTGATCTTGTTTTTTTTTTGCATGGAGCTGATTTGATGTGTGGTGGGGGATTAAGGTAAAACAGAAAAAAGCAGAGGGAATTCGAAGGTCTTCACGGGAGTGAAAATTTTTTGGGCCGCATGGGATCGAAGGCCTCCTTTCGAGCCCCGCTCTGGTTGGGCAACTTTGACCCAGCTTGGACAAGATGGAATAAAAACATCGCTTTTGTTCCGAAGGAATTCTTGTGCTCCTCTTGTTTTAAATTTCGGTTTTTACTACGCGGAATCCAATTGATACTGTTAATGAAATAATAATAAAAACTCTTTTCAGATGTACTGATGATCATGGGAAAACCTGCAAGACTCATCTATAGCCATGTCAGAAATTATGGAAATGCTAGGATTCTCTGCAGACAATATACAGGTGAGCTCTCTGCACAATTGAATTCAAGGGACCAAAAAAAAAATGTGTTGTAGAAAACCCCTGTTATGTGGGGAGAGTACCCTCTGTTTCCTATGACAAAGAAAAATTTGTAGATGAGAGATTCCACCTGTTCAGGATCATTTTGGACACAGACAAATGTTTTTGATTTGATATTCAAATACTGTGTCATGGAGGATTGGATACTGTGATGGTACAATTCTGTGAAGGAAAGGCATTACAAATGGGAGGAAGCATCCATTATAGGAAGTAAAAAAGATTTTTTGAACTCATGTAACTTTGAGGGTGAATTTCCTAGCTGTAGCAGAAGCCTGAACACAATTTAATGACAAGAAATTGGTTGTAATGAGATTCTACTGCTATATTAGATGTGTCCAATGAAAGTGGGAGAAAGATAATTGTGCAGACTTCATATCACTGATACATCATGTTCATGGAATTCCAGTTGTCATGAGACAATAAAATAATGTGAGGCAAACACTCTACAGCCATAGGATATAAATTTCACATGCAATACTGTACTGTTTTTTCCTTTCAATTGCACAATACCCATTTTAGATTTTTTCCCATCATCATTAATCTTGTAATTGCAGGCATTTGACATTGACTAAAATTTATCTTTGCTAAAAGTTTGATATTACTCAATAAATGTGCCTGTGTAATGATTCTTGTGTGGTATATGTGCATAAAAATGGTGAGTGCTGGCTCAGTTTAAAAAGCTGTCAGATCAGGAAGTGTGCTTTATGCTGGATGTGTGAGTTGGAGTACCCACCCAAACTGTAACCTGATCTTGCAGCTGCATGTGGTGCATCAAGGCTGAGTATCATGTTGTTATTGTACTGCTGTATACTGCTGCTGGCTTTGAAGTGCTGGAGATGATGCTTCAGTCAGTGTCTCAAAGAGGAGCCTGTTTGGTTTGCTCACTCCATACATCTGTGATGGGTGTATTAAAAAATCTTAAATGTCTTGACTGTGCTGATTTATTGATTTATTTTTTATTTCATCTCATAATATTGCTCTTTAATATTTTGATTTTAATTTAGAATTGTGTCCTCCACTCCTCTGTTATATGATCATATGCTGTTAAGAATAACTTTGTCATTTACTGTATGTCCTGAACCCCTGATACTGTGATATGATCAAATTGAAATAAATTAAGTTCTGCAAAATGTGTTCATAAGATAGTGGACTTCTTTGGATTATATATTTATATCATTCTGATTATGATGTAACAGGAAGTTCTTTCTTGAATGAATAATCCTTCCAAATTTTCTTTGCATGACTAACAAATATTAATTTCACCCAGCACCATTGTGTGCAGGAGTTGAAGCCCCAAACACATGAATATAAGCCTGATGGTGACTTGATGAACCAGTGTTTTGCAATAACTAATTTTAGATTAGTTGAAACTGGTCATTTCTGAAGATAAAATGGGAATTAACAGTTATGTGCTGAAAATGATCTTCCAAATGTTTTCAATGAGTGAGTAAAAATGCCATTCTCTTGGGCTTGACAGAAGATGAGAATATATGCTGTATGCTTGACAAAATTGTGCAAAACTCCTCTTCAGTGATATGGACAGATGAATAAGAAGTATCCTCCATCAGAACCTTGCCACTGCTGTTTCCTAGTTATTTTATATTTTACCAAAGAGAGACACAATACATGTGAGATTTGAGAAAATAAGGCACATACTGATATAGCCTTTGATTCATATGCACAGTTTTCTCTGCTGTTCCCTTAATAATCTCTTATTCTCAACTATCTCAAGACATCCACACAGTGTTGAAGAGGCAGTTTTAGGAAGTCTAATGCCAATTTTTTCCCTATATTTCTGCATTGACTCAAATTATTCATGCCTTATTGTTTTGGATTTGTTGTACTGTACAGTACTTGCCATACTCCACTTTTTTCATATCCATTATTTTAGAAGCATACAAATGTAGAGCCAAAGGATAAGTGTTGCCAAATTGCTACTGTTCCCTGCATGATGATGATGGTGAATTATAATTTTAATGTTGAATGCTGATGCATCTTTTCTGTTTTTCCTATATTGTGATCCTCTTTTCTGTGATGGTGTATATATACAAAGTGATAGAAAAAATATGCGGTTGAAATATGTCAGTGGTGAAGTGTACCAAAGTGCTACTCTTGCTGGTGGTGATTCAGACCTTTTGCTTGGACAAGACCAATAACTGGACACTTGCAGCAGTTCAGCCTTCACCACCCACTGGTTCAGTTGTGGTGACTGAACTGGATTTCCAGGACCTGAAATCAGAGCTCCACGAAATCAAAGGTACCACTAACATGGTCATTTAAAAAAAGAAGCAAGAAAATCCTTTGTACAGTGCAGAATCGCATTTTCTTTCAAGCAAGTGGATTTTTTTAGTGGTATTCACAGACACATCCAGACAAACAAAGAATAACACATCAATAATCATAGTAAAATGCTGCAAGTATCTGAAACATCACTTTTTTTTTTTTGAAATCAGGAAACCTTTGGGAAAAGGGGAAAAATGCATTTGCTGGTGATGGTGTTGAAAAGGCATCATTGATTGCAATGCCTTTTTTCTTGAATGACATGTGTTTTGTTTTGACACATTTTTTGTTCTTCC